GCAAATTCCATCTACCACTGGGTTGTTTTACAACTCGGAAGTTTGAATGCAAGGTAGAGGTAAAGTAAGGAACTGTTTATGAGGTTTTCCGTCCATTCCAACAACTAAGAAATAGTGAGAAGAGTTGGGACCTCAGAAGGCTTTTAGGACCAATTAGTAGGCTTTGTGTCCAGGAGAAAACGAATATACTTATCAGTAATGTTTTTTGTTGTTGTTGTTGTTTTTAAGATCAATCACATATTATTCAAGAGCAATTTCTGAAACACAGACTTTCAATTCCCTGCAATGGTTAACTTCTGCCATTAGAACCTGACCCACTGCCCCATCCTGAGCAAGGGCAGCAGGCTCGTCCAGGAGGCCCGAGTCACCAATAAGTCTGACAATGAGGCTCCACAGCGGTTAGAGAGTCCTTTGGCCTCGAGGCAGCAGATGCTGGCCTTACTCCTCACCTGTTAACCCCACGCGTGCTTCAGAGAATACAGCAGAAGCCCATGTTGCTAGTCATGCTGCCATGGGCTTAGGAAGGAGCCTGGGCTCACACAGTCAGGCTACTCGATGTTGTCATACAAGTGGATCACGTCGTTATGGCGGCTGAGAGCCTGGATGAGATGGGCAGCCTGCTCCAGGTCTGGGTCAGCCAGCCGCACCTTGGTGTTGGGGATGAACTCTAGTGTACAGGACATGGAACATAAGCCCAGGGAGTCCAGCTTCTTCCTTATTTGATGCAGTGACGAGACATCACAGATAAATTTAAAAAGGTTCCTTTCCTCTTCATCTTCAGTTTCAACTACATCCTCAGCTCCTGCTTCGATAGCCAGCTCCAGGGCTCGCTCTAGGCTCACAGATTTCTTCTCTCTGTCCTCCACACCAATCACAACCACTCCCTTTTTGTCAAAGGAGTGATGAGCTCCTTCTGTAATCATTCCTCCATTCTTGTTCAGGATATGTTTGATGTCTGAGTGGCACTTGGAGTCACTGTTGGATAACGCTTCAATGAGGAGAGAAGAGCCACCAGGACCCCAACCTTCGTACAGCAAGTGAACATCCTTGGTTTTCTGGGCCTTATCCTAAGTGCTGCTGACCATAACATGGTTGCAGAATTCAGATTAGTCAAAGACTCTGCTGGCAGAGCTCATTTTGTCCCTCCACGCTTTGTCCATGCATCTAGACACTCTCCGCAAACACCCTGCCCTCATTTATCAGTAATGTTAATGCTCACCCACAGTTCTTCTGGGAGGGTCTAAATCGTTGAAGTATCCTCCTTTGTTTCCAGCTGGGAGCTGGGGCCTGTCAGTCCTGTCTGCCACGAGGACCTGATCTGGGCCACCTTGGCCAGGTGTCCTTCAGGGCCACACTTAAAGCAAATGAGTGGGATCTTCCTCTCTACTCCCTTGCCTATCTGTGGCTCTCGTCTGTGACACTGTCTACTGAAGTGGCCCAGCTTT